AATGTGGAAAAACGCACAAAAAATTAATCAGTAGAATTAGGTACATCTCGGCCCATCCAGTCGTACACATTCCTGTCCAGTACCACCCATGGTCCTTGTAAGTGCGGTGGTTGTATTGCTGATTAAGCATAAACGTATACAAAAAAGAAATGTGGCAAACAAACAAAGGAAAAAGAACTCTTCTAATAAGAAGCTAAAAGGGAAAGTGCTGCCCAAATTTTAAGCCCCTTATCTATCGGTCCTCACAACACCGTGGAAGCAGCAAAAACGTCAGGAAAGTGTGCGATATTGAAAACAACAGCTGCTAAAATCATACATACATACACACATACGTATAGTACAGACATACATAAATACATATTTTACACACATACATGCACACATCCACGCATACATACGTACACACACACAAATGCATGGTACATACATATGCTTTTAGTCGGCGAAATGATTCATTATTTGCGCGATCTCATGACATCTTGAAAGGCTAAAGCCTTGCCGTGTGCTGCGAAGGTATTCCCTCAGCGGACGGAATGAGAAACAGAGTGGCCATTAGGCTGCTTGCTGCTGACCATCAGGCAGGGCAGCATTGGTCAGAGCAACCGAAAAAGTGGTCAGTTGCATCAGTGAAAAATCCGAGGTACAGCTGTTCCATTTTCGCATGTCTACTAGCCTCGTAGTGCAGCTTGCCGAAACTAGCAAACTTCGTCACTCCCAGCAAAACTGCATGCAAGTTCATTTTCAAGCAACACTGGATACCCAAACAGATGTGTTATTGCTTAAGCAATCAGGTGCCGCTCATTTACCTGGTTCCTTTTGAAGTATCTGGATTCCACTACAGATACCGCTGCATAACAAAGAGATTGTAGCAGCCAGATTGACCCCGGAAGCCTATGTGACGAAGGCGCAACAGACTGCAAAATGAGGAGATAAGAGTGAGATAAGACGTCCCGGTCCATAAAGTCACGCACGCCTTAACTCAACACCACAACAGGACCTCGTCAGCGTGATGGTCGCAGTGCTTAATGGAAGACAACAGAACGAAGCAGAAGGAACGACGACCTGGGTAATGGGATCAGATGGAGCAAGAGTGGAGTGAAGAAGGAAGGGAAGGAGGAAGAAAAGGATTTCAGAAAAAGATTTAAAAGATTTTCTACAAGTTAACACTTCTACTTCTCCCGCACGTTCTCCGTCAGGTTTGGTAGCGATGCACGTGCACATATGGAAACGGCATCGAAAGACATCTTGGTATGCCAAAAAACATCAAATCATTAGCATTTTTGCGATTCGCCCTTCCCATACTGCAACGCTAGTACGTGCGCGATGCTAAATGGAAGTACCGATGTGATGAAATGCAATTTATATATGATTTATCAACTAATTTATAAGATGAACAAAGAAAACATCGAAAAAACAAGAACTAGTAAACGAACAGACTAAAAAGCGCAAAAAATTACAAATAGACGAAAAAAGCTTAAGAATGAACAAATGAAGAAATGTACAACTAACTTATAACTAGGCCAACAGTTACAACGCATAAATAATGAAAAATAGGAATTATAATACAATTAATTGATAATACACACCAATTACAAATATCAAGACCGTCCAGGCTATCAGTGTGGGCATGCCAAGTCAGTGCAGTTTCTGGGATTTCGGCGCATACCGGGCAAAAGCTCCAGGAAGGCCCCCCCCCCCCGCACCCCTCTCCCATTCTGGCTTCCGAAAATGTGCCCAGTTCCAATTCGGTGTACATGCATCAACTTTCCGTGGGGCACACCCACGTGGTCGCTTATTTCTCCGCGGGTACCTCCCCCCCTCCCCTAAATTTAGAGCGCCCACTAGTTGTCAGTGAGGTCAGTAACGTGTTCTGCCCATCACACAGACGTCCTGTGCGTTGTCCATTTCCAATAAAGAATAAAATACACAAGAAACAAATTACGATAAACTGGGCAACACAATACAGTTACAGATGCGTTACAATAAAAAAAACATAAATTACAAAGTAAATTGCGAAATGCAGACAAAATACATATACAACAGAGAAGCATTACAGATCACAAATTCCAGAAAACACATAATCAGAAATAAAGATAATTTAGAAATGCGAAATACGAGTAAATTACAAATATAATTAGAAACAATTACCACAATACAACCGGTAGCACCTCACTGTAAACCAGCGGATTGCCGGTGGCTCAGCGAGAGAGATCCAATCCTTGCTGTGGATCGCTGGAAACACTGGATGTTCGCGCTCTGTTGGAACAAACCAGCCGGTGCAAACATTCCGCTTCATTTCACCGCCCAATACAGAGATATCACACTGAAAAAATTTTTTACAGCAAATCATTTTCGAATAGCCATATCGCCTTATCAATTTTTTGCATTGAGAATACGACGCTAACATTTTCGCTGATCCGGCTAACCGTTGTCAAAATCACGCACCCCACAACAGAAGCTAGCGTCTCTCTCCCCTCGCTCCAGCTATACACTCGCAAGACACATTTTCCCGCCACCCTATCCCCTCC